GGTTTAGAGTTTAAGGGTTTAGGGCTTAGGGTTTAGGGTGTGGGGTTTAGGGTTTAGGGTTGAGGGTTTAGGGTGACGGTGTTAGGATGTATATAGAGCCACTAAGCCGCAAACCCTAAACCCTAAACCCTACAGAGAGGATTGTCCCAAGTTTTGGACGTATGGAGCAGAGGATCCGTCTTTGGGTTTAGGGTCTAGGGCAAACACACACATATGCATATATATATATATACATATATATATATATACATATATATATATATATATGTACATACAGAGTGTGTGTATATATATATATACATTATATATATATATATGTATATATACCATATATATATATACATATATATATATATATATTCAATATCCATACCTTTCTTTGCGCCAAGGAAAACTGTTAACATGTTCGGAGCTTGAGCCCTGAACCACGCCTTCGAAGGGGAAGGAACCAAAGACCTCGCCGCTCATCTCCTCGCGATCTAAATCAAGGGTTTAGGGTTTAGGGTTTCGGGGTTTAGGGTTTTAGGGTTTGGGGTTTACGGTTTAGGGTCTAACATTAAGTGGCCGAGTACTAAAACTGCAATAGGGAACCCTCAAGAACAGCATTCTAGCTATTCAGGCTCCTACTTTCCCACAATTCGACATCGAAGATTTGGGGCGGTTGAAGAGGGTTCTGTCAGGGGTGTAGGAGTCTACTATGGGGTTGGCAGGGCTTTCAGTTTCTAGGGTGTGTAGAGGGCCCATCATAAAGGTGTCGAAGGTACATGGGGGTACAGGGTTACCCAGACCAAAAGAAATCTGGGAGCCACCTTGATGGTTTGTTGACGTTAGGCTTTGAGGGGCAGATGAGGTTTGCTTCCCAAAAGCGGATCCTGCCTTATCAAGTCGAAAAAACGCAGTAGTGAACACACATAGTAGCCATAAGTTAAATAAGCGGATAACAACCCTCAGACCCGAAACCCCCCAAATGCAAGAACACCAGCTACAGAACATTTAGCACTGTGCGGCGGGGTCCCGGATCATCGCGAAAGGCTGCCTTGGCATGGCAGAACCAAGGTTTGCAGGTTTAGGGCTTCCCGGTTCTACTGGTGCAAGGGTTTAGGGTTTAGGGTTGAGGGTTTAGGATTTAGGGTTTAGGATTTAGGGTTTAGGGTTTAGGGTTTCAAGGTTTATCGGGCTCATAGTGCTTACAGGGCCATGGAGTTGAGAGTGTTGAGGACTGGGGGAGTTGGTGCATTTCAACAGTTCTATCTTATTACGGTTTAGGGTTTAGGGTTTAGGGTTTAGGGTTTAGGGGTTTAGGGTTTAGGGGTTTAGGGTTTAGGGTTTTTGTGTGTTCTTGACTTATAGATTTAGGGCTCCTGAGTTTTTGGCTTTGGATTGAAATGGCTAAGGCTAGGGCCCTCAAAAGCTTGGGAAAGCTTAGGTTTCAGGCAGAGGTTCATCCAAAGGACCCAACAAACAGGCACTCGGGTTTGGGATAGATGTCGCGTAGTATTTCGGAGAGTATGTGATTGTGAGGTACTTGGCAGGGGAATGCGAAGCCTCCCCGATGCGGTGACTTGAGCTCGACAGTGTCAGTGAACCTCATACTCGGACCGCGTCTTCGGATTTAGCTTCCCCCTCCGAAGTTACCGCTCGCAATGATTTGAGGGATATTACTCGACTATACATGTAGGACAATGTGTATAAAACACGGTGTTACTGCTACAACTTCCTGACTACATGAAGGACATCAAGTATAACAAACGAATATGTCTAGTATTTGCCATTATTCCGACCTCTCTACTTCGTCCGAAGATCTATAGTGGTGTGTTCTTACGAACCGTGTATGAAATCATGATCAATTCAGACCTCCTTTATTCGTCCGACAAATTGTGAGTCGAGGTGCTTGTCCACTTTCATGGGGCCGACTCGGTAGGTGTCCACATGCAGGGGGCCTCTCCCACAGAAGTGTTGGGGTTGAGGGTTTAGGGCTTAGCGATTAGGGCTAACCGTAGGCCCATATAGAAGTGCAGGAGCCTAAGTTAACAGAATAGTGTCATGATGTGTCATACTTCTCGAAGAGGCTGTGAGAGGGGAAGCTTAGGGTTTAGGGCTTGGGCTCTTAAACCTAAACCCTAAACCCCTAAACCGTAAACCCTACACCCCTAAACCCTAAGATCCATGGCTTTGGGGGGGTCTCCAAGGCTTTGGAGTGATGTTTGTCGGATCGGAGGCTTGTCGTCCTCCTCCTTGTCGTAGCAGAAGCAGCTGCAGCAGCAGGAGCAGTAGTAGCACTTGTAGTAGTAGTAGTAGTAGTAGTAGTAGTAGTAGTAGTAGTAGTTGTAGTAGTAGTAGTAGTAGTAGTAGTAGTAGTGGTTGTTGTTGTTCTAACAGTTGTAGTAGTTGTTGTTGTTGTTGCTGTCGCAGCAATAGCAGTGGTAGGGGGAGGAGGAGGAGAAGAAGGAGGAAGAGGAGGAGGAGGACGGGTCTCTTCGAAAGGGTTTTTACAAGAGTTCGGTAAAAGTTATAAACGTTTCGCAGAGCTTTAATTTACTATGTTGTCTAACTGCGGTCCAGGTTTTTTCGCTTCTTGATCTTCTTTGTCGGAATGGTCTTGTGCAGGGGATCTGCAACTTATTGCCCCAGGCGACCCTTCATGAAGCATATTGGAGGCTTCGAGCGTGGCAACAAAATACATGTGAACAGATTAATATACGAGAAAACACGCCTAATTCGTGTATTCTATAGCCCTCAGCCTCTAAACCCTACACCTCGAAGCCTGCGCCTCTTTTGCCCCCAACTTCGCAGCGTTCTGTCGTCATCTCTGTCCAGGCCACACCACCGTCTGCGGAGGAAGAACGGTCAGGTTGGTGCCCGGCAGGCGTGGCACCACCATGGGCGTGGTGCCGATCGGCCCCAAAGGGGGGGCATAGCTCTGAGCCTGCGGGCTGAAGTATTGCACCCGGTGTTGCGGCGATTGCGGCTGGTGGCCCAGAAGTGGGTAGCGCTGTGGTGATTGCACCAGCGACTGCGTAGGCTGAGGTTGTATCACATGATGGGCTTGTCGAGGTTGAGGGGACGTCTGATACCGTGCCTGCGAAGTCCTGCAAGGCATCTGTGGAGTCTTGGGCTGCCCGTCCGAAGAAGTTGCCCGGTAGCTTGCTTGAGGGATCTGAGCAGAGGGCGTCTCAAGTGAGTACTCTCTTGCGTGGCTGCCGCTTGCAGAGATGAACCGGACAGCTTCTAACTGCTCTCCGCGACCTTCCTGCCCGAGGTTCTTGCGACCCCGTTCGTGAGCGACGACAGTGCTCGCGTTTGCCGACACGAACCTCACCGGTTCGGCCTTTTCCTGGCCAAGTCCCAGGTTCTTGCGACCTCCTTGCTTGTTTCATCCGCGAGAATAACTAAAGCTAAATCTCTGGGACTCTACCTAGACCTCAAGAATGAAAGATCAAAGCTTACTTACTCCTAAACCCTAAACCCTAAACCCTAAACCCTAAACTCAGCCTCTCTCGTGGGCAATGACCACTTGCAAGGGCAGTGTCGCCGAAAGCTGTTGCGATTTGGAGCCTGGCCTCCTGGGTGCGTGGTACTTTTAGAGTTAGGGTTTAGGGTTTAGGGTTTAGGGTTTAGGGTTCTTCTTAAGGAATTTATATCCGGCTTGAGGGTGTAGGGTTAAGGAATTTATGTTAAGTTGCTACAATACGGAAAGCAAACACTTTGCGATGGATACCATATAACATACTTTCTTAAAGACTTTGAAGCCTTTGTAGCTTAAACTTAATTTCCTCATGTTCAGCCGGGCATCTGTGCGATGGAGACCTCAGTTGCTCTGTGGAGGTTTGTGAAACTCGAGAATCGGGATCGTGGGGTGTAGGATTTAGGCTTTGGGGCTTAGGGTTTAGGTTTTGGGGCTTTGAGTTCTAGGGTTCACTTCTGAGAGCAGTGGTTGGAATTCCCTGCAAAGCCTGCAAGACTGCCGACTGAAGTTGCCCTCGCTCCCCAGGGACCCGTGATTAAGCCTTGTCAACCTTTTTTAACCTACGGCACCGACCGAATGAACAATCCTGAACAGAACCATACACCCCAACTAAAGTACGTAACCGTGCGTATGCAAAGAGCCAACTAAAAGCAAGTGCATAAACAACGCCGTACACATGTATGTATGTATGTATG